CATTCATGACGATTGAATTAAAATTTATTATTATTGTTTTATTCAATTTATTGGTCACGATCCACACAGCGAATTATAAATATTGTCAAATCAGATCAAGCTAGACATAATCCCTTACATGGCTTGAAAAGGCACTTTGTTGTTTCTTTGAGCTTGTGGCCCCTTGCCGTCGACCGGAATGAGAGTCTGAATACAGTTCTACAATTATTTATCTACCGTGAGTCTCGGCGCTAATTCCGCCACTTGAATTAGAGACATTTTGACAATACTATATTAAGTCATGTTTTACGTTGTGTTATGTTTTGTAAAATACGTTATCGCAAAATATTGAAAAGAAAAGTTTATAGCATCGACATCGATCATTTGAAATAATTTTAAACACTATATTGGTCGCGAATTGCTATCGTTAAAGAAGAATTAATATCTAAAATATGAATTTTAAGTAACATCCGGTGATAACAAATATTGTACAAATCCATACTTCAAATGTGCATTACTGAAATATTGCCAAATAATTAGTAATCGTGACTGATCAGTAGATGATTGTTGATGTGAATAATCTTCATAAAAATAACTTTTAACTCTGTGTAAATGACAATGACGGAAATGTGTGCAATGTTATGTATTCTCGAAACTATTCCAGTTTTGTCAAATAGTTGTATAGTATATTGATATATTGAAGCCAAACCTCTTAATCCGATTTTATTTTCAAGGTTACACGACTATAACATTACTGAAATCAATATAATATGTTCACAGTCAAACCTAAATACGAAAATAAATCCATTAAAACAACGAGATTACTCAGTTACTGAATCCATGTTATTTAATACTAACAACATTATTTGTAATGTACACGCGTCTATATTATGGTACCGTAAATATTGTAATTATTCTGAAGATAACGGTCTTATACGAAATATGAATAGTGAACAGTTATTAGACAAAAACACATTGCCACCATATCGACATCTTACAGAACTTTATATGAGTTTGTCATTGGGCCTTCGTGAAGAACGAAAAATACATATTTTATACATACTATTCCATCACAGTATGGCATGGTGTAGAGCAACCATTCTGAATTAGTATTTTACCCAAGGGACAATATTTCTTAACTTGTGTAACTTAATACACGACAACGCACAACATGATATTACTTATAGTCTGTACAACTTTGAAATCAACAACACACAGGCGACAACGTGACATTAATTGACAGTGAGTGAGAAATATCGCGTGTGGTCTATTTCAATTCCGTCCACATTTCCAGGTCCCCCGTCACTGCCTGCCACGTAGATAATTAACTCCTTTCAACTAATGTTGAAAATCAACCCGCAACACGGCAAATACGGCTGTTATGTATGTACGTGTGTGAGAAATGTGATATCTGCCGTCAAATCTCCAGAGTGTTCTATAATAATGGCTAGGCATACATACACACTATCGTATCGCCTTCTTCGTCTAAAATAATTTCCCAATGACAAAAACTAAAATCAAATATACGTAGTAAACAATTCTCTGGAGTAATTATAATTTACAGAAGCTCGTTACTCGTGCATACTCGCATTGTAATACTGCTGCTACAGTAACCTGTATGTGACACACTTATTGCAACTAACGTATTTAATTTGCATGGGAAATACTATTTTTAAAACATGTGCAACATAGCTGGGTCAGGGTTCGTAAGTTAGTGCATGTCTTTGATAGGTAAATATAAAGAACTGTATTGTTCACAAGTAGTTAGTATTGTTGCATGGTTGTTTTTTCTAAGGTCCAGACGGCGTCGAGGGTTCGAGCCATCGCGACAACTTTAGGAAACATGATCACCATCCGACTGACAGAGAAGGTTTGCTGGTTTATTTTTATTCTTTCCATGTCATCATCATCATCATCATCATCATCATCATCATCATCATCATCATCATCATCATCATCATCATCATTATTATCATTATCATCATCATCATCATCATCATCATCATCATCATCATCATCATCATCATCATCATCATCATCATCATCATCATCATCATCATCTTCATCTTCACGTTTCAAGACTACTGATATGTTTTACTGTATTTGTTTTCTGATGACTAGTAAACAGAACTATCATATTACTGCCCGCTGTCGATAGAATTCATCTTGATGAGAATCTTGTATTTAAAGTCCAACCGACTAAATTATAAGCTGCATATACTTGTGGTGTATTTTACAACAAGGAAATATGATTTGTACGCGTACCTTTCAATAATGTAACCATTAACTATGAGTCATTGCTGACATTGAACGATTCCAGACAGTTGACATGTTTCTTCTACGGGGTAACATACTTCTAGGAATAGTTAGTGTTTATTAACAATCTCAATTTATAAACACAACTTCAATTTGTCAGAATTGACATAGATCATTATGACAAGAACAGTTGTTAAATTGAATTCTATTTCAATGCGATGGAAGGTGATAGAAGTTTCATATGAGGTTATCTCATGTTTCGGAACATATCTTAACATCCACATAGTATAAATACTCAATTTATAATTTATTCACAATTACGCTTCTTACATGATCAGTGATGATACAATCTTTATGCCCGTTATGGCATTGTATGTACTTGCTTACTTGTTCACGTAACTATATTTAGCCTTATATTGACAACTGTATATATTTCGCTTTCGTCATTTTATATCGATTGAACATAATCAAAATAAAAACGTGACAGTTCGCAGAGGTAGAAATCCCCTCCCCCCCACCATTAATTATATCGTGTACTACGAACTTTTGATCGATCGAGTGCCTATGTCAATGCATCGATTGCAAAACGCTTCAGTAAACGCGCTTAGTTCGCAGAGTAAGCAACAAAATGCTCTGTGACACTATGTTTTACACATAGAATAACAAACTTGTTCGCACTCGATGTAATGTCACGGAATTGTCATTGTTTCTCACATTTTTAAGCAGTCACTCCCAATCTCAAATTATTGTACAATTCAGGTATTAGACGTTTCTATGCTATTGGTGTAAAATATATAACGTATGTGTATCATGCCATCATTTAGAAGTCTAGTGAGTAAATAGGCGGGGCAAACCCCCCTCTATTCTTATCGTTGGGGGCGCTTGTATTATATGATTTCTGAAACAGTGGAATGTTCCTCGTGGCAATGGACAATATTTACACTTGACTTAATCGCCAACAGTTTTGACTGGGTTTAATTCGATGTCTAGGAAATAAAATGACGACTGTGTATAAAATGATATTTACGTTACAGGAATCATGGTAACGGCTCACAATGGCTGCAAACAACAAACCAGAAATACACTGTAGTAGTAAAAAGCAAATAAATTTATATTCACCTAAATAATAATATTCTTAACTGTGTGGGCATGAAAACTAATTATTTTAAAGTTGTTATCATTCATTTAACATAATGAGTGTCATTGGTCATGTAAAAGTCAATTAATCTTGCAGTGTGTGTTCACTTAATATTCAACGACACTTCAATGCTGTCTTGACCTTTGGTGTGGGTAAAATTCATCAAAGTGGTTACTATGCCAACACGTAATCAACATACGTGACCCGAATATTACCTTATCAGTGAAACTTATAATGTCACATATATTTCAGAACATGCAACATGCAACCATCGCGGGTTGTGTAACTCATTTTATATAGTAGATGAGCAATGGGACAATAACCTGTAGAATTCGCACCTGAATTTATGTACATATCATAGTAAACTACATGTTGGTTTCAAACACAAATCACATGCTTAGCTCATTTAGTAGACTGATCATGTTTGTTTCGAATCCAGAGTGTTGCTGCTTAAAAAAATATTGAGGGCATTGCTGTGCTCATCACTTGAGTCATAATCAAATACCTTACGTTAGAAAACAAATCGACAAGAGACATTGACATTATTAACCAAGGCGTGGAAAATTGATGTTGGTAAAATTAAATTATCTATTTTATTACAGTCAAACTCAATGCGCACATCTAATTATGAAGCAGACGAAGCGTCAATATATTTTCATTCGAAATTCAAAATTTTGGCTACTTTGTAAATTAATGCACACAAATAATAAATATAACAACAATGTTTTCATGTAAAATCAATAGTTGGCAATGAATTGATTAAGTTACGTTTGAACCAATTATCTTAACATACTTCGTTTAAGATGTCTGTGAGCGCTCGGAACCCTATGATTACGCTTATTTATTTTACATGTAAACGATCTTGCTACAAAATTAGTAGAACTTATCAACAAAACGGACATCAATATAGTGTTAAAGTTTCACAGAAAACAAAGTAGTATTCCACTTTCGCTGTTTCACGGTAATTTGAGCGCTTTTTACTAGCTACTACTCGTTGTCTGGCAGTGTGAAGCCAGGTCTGTCTTGATAAAACAAAAACAAGCATTGTATTAGTGCTGCGAGTGTCCCAAACCTTAGTATTCTTGTACAAATGCAAAAAGATATGTATGCAACTGAGCCTAATAGTCTTTACATGACAATGTCACTAAAATATACATGAATATGGAGGGTACATACCTATTCAAAGCTTATTATTACACATTGGCAGAGAGGAAGTACTTTTGCTATAGCTTGGGAACATTGAATACTAAGGTTCTAAGTAATATAATCATGTGTATTTATATTTATATTCATCATGAGCCCCCCTCGGCAACCATTGCCCTAGCCAAACAACAGTTTTCTATGAATTGTTCAAGTTCTGCTCCCTAATCCGCATGATGCCATTCAATGAACATTTCAACATATTATCATTTGGGCAATGTTAAAACAGAAAACAGCTGAGCTGATTCGAACGTTCTTTAGCAGTCAGGTATACCTTAATTGCTTTCTTGCCCAGGTGCTATATATCCAATTTAATTACTGGCAGTTACCTTCATCTATATTCCACGCATGAAGTAATTACATGAACCATTAATTTAAAGTACATAATTAACTAGGTTGGCGGTATTTCAATCTTTGTTTTTCACAGATCTGCTTGCTTCAGTGGATCACATTAAATTAAGAAATTATCTTTTCAACAATCGGTCGTATGATCCAACAGTGCGACCAATCTATGACAGCAAAACCATAACTGAACTGGAGCTGCAGTTTTTTCTTTCCCAAGTGTTAAATGTGGTAAGTTCAGATGTCTTATGACATTCATTTTGGATTATCTTTTGGACATTGACACTTGAGATTCCATATACCTGTCCAAGGACCATGTCATCAATATCCATACCTGATATGATTATCATATTAAAACTGAATACTTTTGCTTGCAGGATGAACGACTACAGACCTTAAAAATGAATGTTTGGCTTACAATAGTAAGTACAATACAAATAATGTATGGTAAGACAATAACTAAGATAACAACCAATTTGTCGACCTTATAGTACCTCTTACACTATATTAATAATTTTATTGACTTTGAATATGAGGAGCCGTGTCGCACGAATGAGAGATATCACAGCGTGCATTGATTATGTTCTTTCTGATGATGTCAATCAATTCCACTTTTAACCCCTCGGTGCCTTGTCTTGTAGCGATGGAAGGACGAGTTCCTATTGTGGGATCCAGCCGACTTTAATGGTATTTCGAATTTCAAAATTAGCAAAGATAAAGTGTGGATGCCAGACATCTGGTTGTACCAAAAGTAAGTGGACATTAATAATCTGACAATAAATAGAACGAAAGACGCGCGAAAACAAGCATGTGTGTCACAGGAATGCAACAAACAAAGGATATTACAACTGAGTGGGTGACAGGTGTTTTGCAATATGTCAGATTTCACTTCTTGTTTATTTCAATCACAGTGAGCTGGCGTAAAAGTGATAATAAATGAAATGCGATATTTACTATATGGCCTCTTATTTAGTTTTGTGCCGTATTCAAGATGGCGGCTCCATATATATATATATATATATATATATATCGCAAATTATCACTCGTACGCCAGCAGCTGACTATGATTTCAATGTCAGTGGCTAACAACTAAATCTTTTGTTATTTAACATTATCTTCTCTCTTCACAGCGCTGACAATAAATATGAAGACTTTACTATCAACTCACAGTGCCTTGTCCAACATTACGGAGAAGTATTATGGGCGGCTCCGGTGATAATAAAATCGCATTGCAAAATGGATGTTTGGAACTTTCCGTTTGATCGACAAACGTGCAATGTAACTTTTGGCCCCTGGCTTCATAATTCCTCCGAGTTATCTGTTAATGGTACAGGTGCGTATAAAAATGACGTGCGATTTTTTGAGTGTTTTAATTTAGGTTAATAATTATTTAGATTGTACTCGGCATGCTCAAATAGTCCGTAATTATCCATATTGTGACATTTAAACATTAAGAGTTACATAGTAATAATAATAACCATGGCAACACTACATTAGTCTATATTGCCCATATATGCTTATTAAACACCACCGCTGCACACTCACAGTACCAGAAACGCATCCACACTGTGAAATATTCTTTGATGGCGTCGACAGTCAAGTGACATTTTCAGAATGTTGTCTGGCCGTGAATGATCCTAGTGATCTAAAATCACAATTTCAGCTTTAACAAGTTTGGTTATACTCTTAAGCATTTATCCTGTCAACAGAATATAGCTCCGTAAAATAAAATCGACATATGATAGACAAGGCTTATGACTAGCTCCCTAATCACGCAATACTTCGCATAAACTGACCCACCTTTCTTTGCGTATTGATATTAACAATTCCACAGAACGCCCTATACTTTCACATAACCATGTGCATGTCATTCATAGTAAAACACCCCTGCTGATATGGTTCGATATGCACGCAATAATTTAGTTATAGAATGAGACAACCGTGTAATAGTGTATTTTTAATCCTCACTAACGTATTCCTTAAAAGACTATAAACTCAAAAAACATCGGCGGCCGCAATTACTAATGCGCGTAGGCATTATTCAAACGATTAAAAGTTTACCACGAACATTTGATAACTATGGTAATCGTACCATGGGATATCAAAGGCTTGGGCAGTTTTAAATCGTTCTATGTGCATTCTTATTATTTAGGTAGTTCCAGTTTCTTTGAAGGGGACACGGAATGGCAGTTATGGGATTTAACAACTCATAACTATAAATACTCCATACAATACTATCCCGATTATCCGTTTGAATACTTCTCTAAAGTTGACTACGTCGTCTATCTGAAGAGACTGCCTACGTACTATGTATTTTATCTTATCATGCCATGCACGCTCATCGCGGCGATAACTCTGCTGGGTTTCTTCTTACCTGTCGAATCCGGCGAGAAGATTGGACTAGGTATCACAGTGTTGCTGTCACTCACTGTGTACTTGTTACTGCTGTCAGAGACCCTGCCGCCTATGAAAAACAATGTGCCAATATTAGGTGTGTATAACCTTTTTTTGTTTTGACATATCGTGTGGAACGTCAAATATGTGAAATATTATTAATATATATATATTTCGTAAGCAGTCATGGTGACTGAAAATAATATCTGTGGTAATTTTCAGTTATGCAAATTTATTCACAGAGAATCACATTCTACGTTTTGCAATGGCAACACAATATTTTCAAAAATTGCGAGAAATTGTGGCTTGGTTTATTATGTTGTTTCATTACGTATTATTTGTAATAGCTTCAAATTTATGAAAACTCACATTTCCGCTCTTTATCTAATACATTCTTGAAATTCGAAGATTGATAATGGTTACCAATTTTCAAATACGATTAACCTCACATGATGGAATAATAGCTTATCGCTAGAAACTTCACTTATTGTACACAATTCACCCTTCATGTAAGGGCGCTCTCTAGTGACGGAACATTTATGTGACGTCTGTTGCTGATGTGGTCGCTCGTCATCTGGAATAAATTAAAAACTCCTAAAAACTCTGATGTAGGACTACAGATTAAAACTTTTCAGCGGTCATAAATACAGTTGCTTCGAAGCTTTAAAACATTTATTTAAATTATATTCTAACACTGGTGACTGTATAAATATGCGGTAGTATAATACAGCTGATGACAGTATGTATCGTCTATTGGTTGATGGAAACACTTCGCTGTTCCAGGTATTTAAAGGGCGACAGTCGCCGTGCCGCGTCCTGTTCGATATGGGACTCATAGCAACGTATACAACGCGTGTAAAATACATTGTTTATTTACATGAAATTCGAACACGCGCTGCGCGACGATCACCGCGCTTTAAGGTTGGACTAACGTGGAAGTTTGTGTGTTTGCATCAATGTATCATACCTCGAGAGTCTAGTTGAATATTGTCATATAGTTAATGTACGTCATTACACTCGCCGCAAACACTTTGTCAAGATATGTTGAAGGTGACATGAACATGGGCAAAAATGTTACTATACCAACATGAGCCCTAGGCATTGTGTTTTGAGAACTAAGAGGCTTTCGTAAAGGGTAACGGTTGAGTAAGTCATTGAATACTGCAATGTTTTTAGTTTGTCACACATTGTACTTCATGCGTCTAAAAGGGGAATATTCCACAGCTATACCACGTAGACTAAAAAATATTATTTAGATAATATATACTCACATCAATCTGCCCTGAGTAAAAAGATTTAATTCACCAATTAAATGTACTTTCGTAATTAGACAGGATCTATAAACCAATTCTTGGGATCGCGCGCTGCATTGCTCTGATGTCAATATAGCAACCGCGAATTTTGTTGCAACATTTTTGAAGAAAATCGCGTCCCTTTAAACAAAAACACGTCAACAATAAGTGTAAAAAAGATAACCCTTAGATAACCTCGGCAATTCGAAAATCAATTCAATGGTGAAGAGCTATGATACAAACGGTACCGCAACATCCTCAAAAGTGTGTTAAAAGAAAAGCACAACACAGCTTTTACACAAACATATTTAATGTAAATGCATGGAATATGAATAAGACCTGGAATACAATGAATAATATCATAAGTAAATCAACAAAAGTATGTTATACCCTATAAGCGGAATATTGATTTCAAAGGTAAACAGTTACATCAAATGGAAAATACAAATGTTATTGGCATACCTGTGGTTATACGTTTGAACTAGAAACAAAATATTCTATGTTAGAAAACAAATTAGTAAGTTAACTTGCATATTCTAATTGGTATGTCTTACCAGAATCAATCTAAGTCACGTTGTACAATTCTTTTTTGTTACTACTTTATATTTGGGGTAATACCACGCATATATATATATTTATTTTCTATTCTATCATTTATAATTTTATAATTGTATTATAGTTCTATATATTCTGCTTATATTATTAGGTCAGTACTATGCAGCTGTGATGGTTCTCGTGTCACTATCATTAGCAATGTCAGTGGCTGTTCTCAACCTTCATTTTAGAGGTCCCGACAGTCCGCCAGTGCCGCCGTGGATGCGTCGGTTTATGCTCGGAAAAGTGGCTCGCTTTGTTATGATCCGTCAAGTTTCTAAGAATAAAGAGTCGCGCAAAGGATATCGAAAAGGTTACCTTAAAGATAACAAACTGGAATTTCTCCCGATGATGGATTTAACTGATTGCGACGTGCATAGAGTCAATGGATTACCTCTCCAGGCCAGGCGCCTGGCGCATCATTCGCCGAAGCAGAAATTCAGGAGGAAGCAGATACAATCAAACAATTCGCAAGTGAATGCGAATATAAAAACTGTAGATGAAAATGTGTATTTTCTTCGAGAACTTCTTCATGAAGTGAAAGATGTGAAGGAAATGCTGGAAAGGCAAAAAACGGATGAAGAATATGGAAGTGAATGGAAACAAGTGGCACTCGTGGTGGACAGGGTGTTTCTTTTTCTTTATGTAGTTGGTTCCTTAGCAACGTCACTAATCATTTTATTTCAGGTCGACTACGATAGTGGACCCAGTCCATTAGAAATTCAGTATGCACTTGAAAACGGATGAAATATCCATCATATTTACGGTGTCAGCATTTATTTACTACGTCCGAGATAGTTGCTCGATGTTTCTTTGAATATTGAAATTGTTCTTAGAATATAATATTTTTGTTCTGACACTTACTGACATTGTAAGTTCTATCTGTGGATTTTTTTACTTAATGACATCGAACACGAATGAACGTTTTATCCAATGTCTGAGATGGATACACGGTTGTGAGAATACAGAACAATCGAGAGATTGGCAGCGTCCCGTGGTGTGACTTGAAGAAACGCCATTGCGGAAATTGATTTGTTAGGATTTCTAACGATGTACTCACGTATTACACATAATAATATTACGCGATCTCACCTCACACGATCGTGTTTTTGTCATTTTGATATTTTTACCAAGGTCTCAGGTTGATGTTTACTAAAAATATTTCTTCTCAATAACGACAAGAATACTTTTTTGTAGACTGTGATTAGCGTTTTCTTCTTCTTCAGAATGACGCCGCAATATTTTATATTAGTTAGAGCTATACTTTGGATTCTTTGCGAACGCCCTCACCATATATAATATTCAATATAATTTCTACAAAGAGTGACCAAATAGTCACCGGGTCAACCATGTTTGTAATACCTTCCTGTCTGTATGGGTATGGATTGTAGTGATGATGACGTAGTACATACCAACATACTCAACATCTATGCATGGAGATAACTGTTAAAATCACTAAGCATAAATATATGACGTCATCATACCTTGGGCTGAGGTGTAAAAAAAAAAGCCACAAAGAAGAGAGAAATTACGTCCACTCCATGTTTCGTTTCATTATTTGTGCCGAAGGTTTATGTCTAATTATTTATATAGAGCTTCCGTGGTAAACGTCGAGACTATGGAAAGGTCAACTGTACGGGCATTATATTTCTTTCAAAGGTTAACCTGTTAACAAATTGTTTGAATTTCATATCTATATTGCACAGGCGATATGTACATATATTATTATCCGATAATTTTTGAAAATATCTGCAATAATTGTCCTACCTATTTCAAGTTGTTCTAATAAACATTAATTATGGTTAGCCACGTCGTTAATGTATAGCCGAGTACTTATCAGATGAATACAAAACATTGTGATTGTTAATATTTACTGCAATAAAATGTAAGATATAGTTGAGGTGCTAATAATTTGTCAATGTGCCTGATATAAGGCGTTTTAAAATAAATAAATCATTTATGAATGAATTCAAGATTATCTTCAATCGCCATACTACTATTAGTGACCGTATTTATCAAAACATGCCATACAAACTGATTATCCCCCATGTCAGTGTTGGGTAGCATGATATTTGTTTCATTGAAGAACGCTCTCAACTCATGATATCAAAGAATATAATAAGCAGGTTAGTGGAAACTATGTACAATCAATATATTATAAGTTGCTTCAGAGCTCTGTCACAAGTTAAACATAATTACAAACAACACTCAAGCGATCAAAATAAACAATAATAATCACTGTGTGTATATGCAATTTATTGTAATTTATAGTAACAGTATTAGCAAAATTGAAACTTGATGAATGAATATGCAAATTAGGTAATCTCCTCACCCCCCAGCATATCATGTAGTGTCGGTTTGTTTCATGTAATGTATATTAATATATAACGTTATAGACGTCCACGTGTATACTATAGGAACTGACCTAACAAAGAAAGTCTTGTAGTGGGTTCTACATTCATCCATGCGGGTTTTTGAAATACTGACATCTGCAAACGACGATGTAGTCAAAAACATGTCATTTTTTCGACCACCCATAAGCGACTGGAATGGTTCATCGGAACTTTCGTCTTACTGTCTCGTCACCGGATTCTGATAGAACAAAATGAGTGATGCAGTGACATTCTTCGGCGTGGTATCATCAAATCCGAATACCCAGTCGTCAGAGGGCGTGCTACTAATAACAATATACATTCTATTTATGCATATAAGCACATATTAGTTGAGTTGTTATGACTTTATCATAATTTTGCATGTGTTTTTTTTTCAATAAATCGATACATTTTTACAATGAAGAAAATTAAATTGTCATTTTCACAGTGACTATGAATATACTAAACACAGATGTAGGAATCTTTGTTTTCAATATTTCATTGCAAATTAATGAACGTGTTTATGCTGTAATAGTGAATTACAACGAGTGTATACTAATTTTAAAGATGAATAAAACATTTCAAATTTATGAATGTACTTTTAAATCAGTGTAATCAGGCGTTTGAATGATAGTTGGATGTTGTATATTAAGTGTTGTTTATTCTAGGGACCAGCTGCTGAGATCAGGCTTTCCCGAACACAACTGAGAATCATTGTTGTTTTCTGAATCCGTATTGACAATGATTTTCGGATTGTCGTAGCATTCGTAGTTTGTCGCATTTCGATCTCCAAATACCTTATATAGTGAACTCGCCAAAAGAATGGAATGCTGATGTGATTTGCATAAACTGATAGCTGGTCTACATTGGGATTTATTCCATTCCACGTGATCACCTCTCTATCAATCAGCTTGGCGAACTAGAATATAAAAGACAATAGTATTTTTTGGAAAAAATGCTAATATGGTCAGTGAAAAAAAAATGTAAACACTACAGTGCAAAAATTATGAAACAGATTTAATCTATTAAAACGCAAAAAAGTGTTCCATATGGACGCCAGGTAAAAAACTACTTCAAATGTTTGAGAAAAGTTTACTTTTTTTTGCAGAAAGGTAAGGTAAGGTAATGCACATAATCATTAATTGTACTATTTTACCTAGCAAGTAATTTGAAATCTTCCGCTGTCTTATAAATAATGCAATTATATATCACATTCCAAACAATTGTGGTCAGCAAAAGTAACGTTAAAATAACATTTTCCACAAATTAAATTAAATGTTAGGGGAGTATTCAGCCTGTTAAATATAAGATGTTACTTCAAATGGCGACTTCGTCAGCTTTTGTTCAGTCAAAGTGACAACTTATGGGTATAAATGTTAGTTGCAATACATTCTGATCTGTGTGAGTTGGTGATACATTCTCATCTGTGTGAATAGGTAATACATTCTCATATGTGTGAGTTGGTAATATATTCTCATCTGTGTGAGTTGGTAATACATTCTCATCTGTGTGAGTTGGTAATACATTCTCATCTGTGTGAGTTGGTAATACATTCTCATCTGTGTGAGTTGGTAATACATTCTCATCTGTGTGAGTTGGTAATACATTCTCATCTGTGTGAGTTGGCAATAAATTCTCATCTGTGTATTGACAATACATTCGTATCTGTTTGAGTTAGTAATACATTCTCATCTGTTTCACTTCAGAATGTGCGATTTTTATTATTTTCATTCGTTGAATGTGTTTGTTTGCATATATTGTTCAAGAGCATGGTCCTAACTGCGCCTCAAGATGGCGCTAATCATTTTTTTCCGACACTCGAGTTAGAGTGGCAAATGTCGTGGCACCACCTCGTGCTTGTCATGCGGCGTTACATACAGAATGTGTAAAATATATTGTCTGTTTACACAAAATTCGAATACGCGCTGCACGATGCCTCTGTGATTTAAGGAATGTATATATTCATACGTTTTTTGCATGACAAGGTTGTTCCATGGTCGCAACTATTGTCTTTGTTATGCATCATCTGAGCTGAATTTGATTCGCAAATTACTCACATCGGCATTTGCTACATACCTTAGTGGAAAAGCTAGGTCATTAATGCGTCTCAATCCTACAACGTGAATGTACTTTACTGCGATCCCCTAGACAATAGAGTGTGTGTATTACTTGGATCCTCTCCCCGGGGACCATAGTGTTTAAGTGTGCTTCTGAGTTTCTCTCCCTGGGGGTCATAGCGTGTATTGTTTTGTCCTACCCAGGGGAACATTCAACCAATGATGCACACAGTGAAAAAACCCGATTCAGATGATATTACCGATGTAATGTAATAATAACGACAATCTAGAGCGAACAACTCAATATATGATCGACAGTGTGGACGAAGATAAAATTATTCTAACAGGCGGGAAAGTATTAATATTACACGTCTGTGATAAAATCTGCTGCTAGAAATACTTTGTGAAAACTGTATTTATTTATTATCGAACTTTGAAACAAATGACCCCCAATTATTCCGTTAACACACGCTTTATGGCGTCGTTCGTGAACAAGAACGGTAGTGCTTCTAGTGCACATTGCTGCCACGAGAACGCACAGCTTAATCCTCACGGATTATTTCATATTTGGGCCACATTCCACGGTTGTGATGAAATTCAATTTTTGTTTTACCCAGCATGATGTCATTCGATAACCTAGTCCATGCAGTCTGTACAAATATGGCGAAGTTCAAAGAAAAGACTAATATGAATATGAGAACACTGCTAATCATCTAGCATACATTTATATTTTTTCATGCACTGTACGATTCCGAAGACGGAATTTTTGAAATAATGAATGTAATGATGTACTGAAATTGAGGTTTATACTTAGAATGATTCTCGATTTCAAACAAGCAATCAGTCACTCAGTGCCATGTAAATTAATTAACAACAGGGGGCGCTCCAAGGTTAATGCAAATTAACTTATTTAAATATGCACTATCGGGTTTGAATGGATAGCGATAGCGAAGGCCACGCCGCCAGTCCCTCAACACGGTTATAATGATCACCAGTTTGCTATTTTATATATTGAAGTAACTCAATTAAGAATGGGATATCTCTTGAACCGAGTGTGCCACCTAGGACGTTGTATTTAAACTTGGCCTTATGAATAACCGTGACGGGTTAATAGTACTTGATATGCGTTAAAAAGTTCTGAGACTGAAATACAAAAATCTGAAATACAATTTCTGCCTGCATTAGTTGCATGATAGACCATATTAACGAATAGTCAATGAGAGAGATCCACCATATGAATGACAAAAAACGTGGGTGGCATTCGATTATGAAACATTGCCACTAACGCATCGTTCGAATCAAATTTCCGTCGATTGTA